CTCGCTTTATACAAATACAAACACACTTTATACATTTGCATTTGTATAAAAAGCGAGATGCGCGAGGGAGAAAACGAGAGTGGTGAGTGAGATTCACCAGGAGAGAGGTGAAATAGCAACAGTTTGTTATGGATACGATTAAATCAAACTATGATTATAACAATTCAATTGAGGTAACATGTCATCAATTAGCCATCTTGCCATCCATTTATATGCTTCTTGTGTCATATGAATTCCATCCCAACTAATATGAGTACTTGGATCAACACACACTGGAACTCCTGCTGCACCACATGTTCTACTTGGGTTATAATTATAGTTTCCTCCTATTCCACAACAGGCTTTCTGTAACGAATTTTCATCGAATCCTAAAAATATATTTCAATTTCAATCAAGAACGTTAAATGAATTAGTTAATTCATGAAACTTAGGACAAGTAAAGTGGAAAAATAACTAGAAAGAATTATATTTACCAAGAGAGACTGCATTTCGTAGAAGCCACAAATAGGCATTGTAGTAATCGCCATAAATCAATATAACGTTTGGATATTTTTTCTTCATTTGGACAATGGCTTGTCGCAGATGATGATTGAAGAATCTTGCAAGGCTATTTAAGTCTTTCAGGCAATGATACTCATCGTAGGCCGTTGTTTTGTTGGTCTTGAATTTTGTTAGCATAGACGTGATACAACCAATTGGGAAATTACCTGGAATAATAATTCGCGTACCTCCAAAATCGATAATCCTCTCAAAATAACAATTCACGATTATCATGAAATAAATTTAGATAACAGAGAATTTTCTAACGTCAAGATCAAAACCTCACTTTAACTCCATGAATGATAGTTTGAACAACTTGTGGCACCATTTTTCGAACCTCTTTGATGGATTTACCTTGTAATAAGCCATAACTGAATTCATTTCCTCCAATTTCTCCAACTAGGAAAAGTGATTTCTTCAATTTTTCATCTGAAAAAAATTATATCGATTCAACTCCTCATCAACGCGATGACTAGATTAACTGAATGTAGTTGATGCATTCCTTACCAGGAGAAGCAATGGATTTGAAATGAGAAGACATCCAACGAAGTTGCACACTTAATGAACTATTTGTAAAAGACATAGAAATGTTCTTCTCTGCAAGTGATTCAACTGATAACGCAGTAGCCCCTGCTACTGCAAAATTCACACCATGACTAAAATCTGCATTTTCATCCTTGAACGGATTTAGAAATGGAAGACCAGATTCCCGAGCTGTCAAAAAATAAATAAAATACGTACATTATATTGAATAGAGGTAATTTATAAAGTAATTAGAGATCGATATACCTATGAAATCAATCATGAGCATTCCATCACAACATCTTCCTGTAACTTTATGGAAAAAATTCATTCCATAAGGAGATCTTCTACATGAAGAATGAGTTCCACAAAGGCTCTCTCTGAGACAATTCCCGGTATCAGAAATTGAATCGCCTAATTGATATATTTTGTCAAATCTGCACTTCATCAATAATCCTTCACTTGTTTTATGCTTTTGTGCATCTCCGTTTTGTTGAAGAAGCACGAAACACATGATTATCAAAAAAATGGCTACTCTAATTGACAATGCCATAAGTTGATCGAATTATGAAAATGAAAATGAAATTTGAGATTTATTTACAAGTACAGGAAACGTAATCTACACTATATATATATACAATGATATCTTTATTGCTTAAGAAAAAACGATAAATAAGAAGATGATTTTGTTTATCGAAAATGACAGCTAGCCAAATTTGCTTGACTATCATGTGACATACACATTTTCTAAAAACGGAGAACACATTGATGCGTTTTAATTTTTATTCTATTTTTTTGCAACGCCGATTTGGAAAAAAATAAAAAAGACAAGAAAAACCAAATAAAATTAGTTTTGATCAAAATACTAATGAAGTACCAATTGTGCATTTCTTCTTTAAATGAAATGGTTATTAATGTTAATACTGGAGTTGTGATTATGAAATTTTTTAATTAAATGCAATGACAATTTAGAAAAAGAAAACATTAAGAAGATGGAAGTGGGGTCAGGGTGGTTGAATTGGGCTGAGGGCGAAGAGGAGATAATGAGCTTGGAGTTTGAAACTTGTTTTTGAAGCTTTGTGTACTCGTTGAAGAGCTTATTATTGAAGGAAGACTGAATAATCAGAAAGACTCGTGTACTTGACTCTATTTATAAGTTGAACTATCATACTTTTGATTTTGTCAACTCAATCTTTAAACTCACTAAAACACAATATGTTCAACACCTCTAATCATTGATCAAAATATATGTGACACCAATTTTGCTAACTTGAAATGTTACGTGATTTCACTCTTTTTAAAGCGTACAGTATAACATTTTACATTAAAAACCATGAAGCCCGCAAAATATGCAAATAGTCTTTTATTTTTCTAACATTTAAATTCTTATATGTCATTAAAAACAACGTGAAATTCCACGTGTAACGAGGTATATTACACGTACACATGTAACATAAAAAAAAGATTAAGATAGTGTGTTTCAATAAATTTAAGAATCCAATTGATAAAATTATAAATATATGTAAAATTTAATTTACAAACGGAACTAAGTATAAAAAATTTTCAGATTATTCCGCATTGAAAAATTATATATGAGAATGAGATCTAACACTATTGTTGTTAACGCCATGACCAGATTTTGGAAAGAAAATTGAATATTATGGTCCAAAATAAATCATATATGTTTGTGCCGATTTTAAATTATTTTATTAACAATAAAATAAATATTTTAAAACTAATTTTTACTTATTTAATTATAAAAATATATCAACCTTTTTTAAATAAATTAAGATGAAACGTATATTATGATATAAATAGAATTAAAAAAATAATATTTTTTAATCACCCTAACTTTCATTTGGTATTTTAGAAGTACTATTGCCTGGTACACGTTTTACAAGTCAAATATCATATATTTATAAACATGATAAATTACACGTTTAAACATTAACGTTGAGATTAATGTTGCACACTGTATCCTGTTTACGTACGTTATATTTTTAAAAACATTGGGGTCTTAATTTCCATGTGATCATTTCCTAACTTTATTTCATTATATTTGACTTATATATTAAAAATAGAACTTTTATTTTTAAAAATTTATTTTAGCAAACTAATTGAGTTTTAATACTGCTTCTCCGTACCATTATTATATAATAATGGCTTAAGTCATATGTCGCTTTTTAAAGTTGTGCACATAATTCACTTAGATATTTTAACTAGGAGTAGTACCTATTGAACACTTTTATTTATTCAAAATTCGTTTCTATTAGACATTTTTCGATAATAAAAAAATAAAATAAAGTATGTGTAATACACTTGTTGTGATGTAGCAGAATGACTAATTAAAAGATAACATATGGCAGTGGGTCCAACAATTATAGAAAAGATAAGAATTTTATGTTAAAAAGAATGAAATTTATTTCAAATAGTGACTTATTTTGGTTCCCAGCACACGTTTTATAAGGCAAAGACATTCTTTTAAAAACCTGATAAATGACACGTTTAAACATGTTGCAAGCAATCACGTGAAGACTATTGTTGCGCACTTCATCCTCTTCACGCACGTTATCTATTTTGTGATCATCGGCTCCTGTTTCATTTTAGTTGACTTTGTATTACAAATAAAACTTTTGATTTTATTTGTTTATTTTGGCAAATTAATTGAATATTATTACTCTTTCTTCATACCACCATTAATAATATTAAAGAAGATTACTCTCTCCTCCATGGACTTTTTATTTGCCACTTATATTTAGATTCACGAGAGTCTAAGTTTGACTAATTTTTAAAGTTAAATTGAATTAAATTAATTCGCTATTTTAAAATTTTGATGTTAAAAACTACATGAAAAATAATAAAAGTTTTTTCATAGAAAAATATGTGTGAAACGTAACAAATGAAGTTGAATGTAGGGAGTAGTAGAAGTCAACTTTTTGACTTCTAAGGTGTCACTTATAAAGTTCTTAATTTAATAAAATGCACCTCTAATAAAAGTTTTCCTTAAGATTTGTATCAATTCAATCTGAGTCCAGTAAAATAAAACACTAAATGAAGAATCCTTGGTCGCTCCATACATTGAAATTTGCAAAGTAGAAAAAAAAAAATCCTAAGATGGGCATTTTAGTTCAGGTAACATGTCATCGATTTAACCATATTGCCAACAATTTATATGTTGTTTGTGTCAAATGAACTCCATCCCAATTTATGTAAGTAGTAGGGTTACCACATATTCTACTTTTATCATAATTATATTCTCCACCTATTCCGCAACAAGCTTTTCGTAGACAGTATTTGTCAAATCCTACACATTTCAATCGAAATAACATGTGATTTTTTGATATATATATATATATCCTCCAAAGTATATAATGCATGCTCAAATATCATGTATCACATTCTTTTAATTTCTTTTCTGGCTCTGCTAATAATGAAGTGTGGTTATAATCATAAAATATAAAAAATTACATTTTGAGTACTTACCAAGACTTGTGGCATTTTGCAGAAGCCATAGATAAGCATGGTAGTAGTCAGCATAAATGAGTGTAATGTTTGAATACTCTTTCTCCACTTCTTGAATGGCTTTTTGCATAGGATGATTGTAGAATAATCCCAACTTATTTTAATCTTTCAAGCAATGGTACGCAGTTGAATTATTGGATTGTCAAAAAATTTGGTTACAACCAATTGGAAAACTCTCAGGAATAACAATTCGAACAGCCCCAAAAACAACGACTGTCTGAAAGAAGAAATATCAAATTAATTACCAAACAGAAAAAGGACCATTGATCAAAAGTACTAAAATTTATGTAAACCACGTATATCATGCATTTATTGATCTACTTATACAAATACTGATGAGCGGGCAAAATTTTTAATGTTCGTGAATATGAACACCTTAGTAAGTTTCGCGTATTAAAAGCATAGGAAATGGAAAAGAAAAACATACTTTAACAGCATTGATAATGATCTGAACAACTTCAGGAACCATAGCTCTCAACTCCTCCAGCGTTTTGCCTTGCAATAAACCATAATTGAACTCATTTCCTCCTATTTCTCCAACCAGGAGAAGTGCATTCTTCTCTATCAGGATTTCAGCTGGTAAAGTAGTAGCTCCAGCTACTGCAAAATTTGCTCCATGTGAAAAATTTCCATTTTGATCCTTGTAGGGAATTAGCAGAGGAAGACCACATCCCAGTGCTGTATAATAATAACATATCATATAAAGTTCAATGGCTTTAACGATATAAAATGTAGCTTGTGACTTTACTGATAAAGGTGAATGAGCAAACCATAGAGAAGTTTGGAAAATCATAGAGAATGTTGAAGTTGTGTACCTATGAAATCGATCATGAGCAAACCATCAGAACATCGTCCAGTTGATTGATTCTGGGGAAAGTGTTGACCATAAGGAAGTTTTGCAAATGGAGAGAAAGCTCCAAGGAAGCCCTCTCTGATAAAGTTTCCAGTATCAGAAAGTGAGTCACCTAACTGATATATTTTGTCAAATTTGCATTTCATCAGTGAAGGAACTTCAAGCATTACCTGAGCATCACTCTTCAGAAGAACCAAGAAACTGATGATGGAAAGAACTTGTAAGAGATCAAACATCTTAATGGTCAATAACATAATCAATTAGTAAGGAATTATGTGTCTAATTATACCTGCTACATTATGTTTATGTTATGTTGAGTGAGATGAGCATACTGCTAAATTCTTGTTTAGGTGACCAACTCTCTAATTGTTCCATTCTTGTCTGTTTTTCTTGAGCCAAGACTTGAGGAACTTTTTTGTATTTTCAATATTATTTGACTATGTTTGACAAACTATCAAAAATGCAGTTCCACAGGTAGGAGTAGTCATGCACATAGCATTAAATGGAAATTAAAACGATTTTATTGATCAAAATGACATGAGTGTCAGAAACTCCTATGGTGCACAGCTGGGCTGTTACCGACAAGCATTAGAGCTCTTATTTCCAGACTCTTTCCTCAGAGTCAACTACGTTTACAGTATTAAAGGATAAACTTCAGTACAAAGCACCAAAAGAGTGAACATTTTGACATCCAGAACTAACGATGACATGAAATACTACTATTGTACAACAACACCTGTAAACAAACTGGAGCAAGGAGATGACTGACTTAAAGTACGGTGTGCACATCATGGTGGTTCCAGCCATGCAGTGTGACCCGAGGAGTGACACCAGGAGGTACTTCGAAGGAAATGGTTACTGTCATCACTTCACCTGGTACCAGTGAAAAATAGTTGTTGGAGTAATGAATAGGAAGGATGCGTGTGTCTTCTTCACCTTTCTTGTTTTCCTCCTTTGAAGCATGAACAGAGAAATGAAGAAAGAAAGCAACTCCTTTCCCCGTTCCATTAACTTCAGAAACCTTCGCCTTGTTGTGACCCCTTGAAAAGTTCCTCCTAATCTTCTCGTATAAACTGATTTCATGTTTCTCCCCATCCAAAAGGTCAAAAGATTCTGATGAATCCGATTCATCAAAGCTGCCGTTTCTTCTGATAAAGTTATTTCTATACAGTGGAGCGTTAGAATCTGGCTTCTTTGATGTGTTCTGAATATGCATGCGCATTTCATAGCTCGACCCTTTTATAAAGGTTAGAGAAGTTATCTTGAGGGGTGGTCTTCTCTCCCTGAATTGTTCCAAAAGCTTGTAATCACCACCGGTTAGGTGCAACCAGTAAAAATTCCTCGAGTATATGCGATTATCAGACACATCATAGAGTTTGAGAAGAAGAAAGTAAACTGGCTTTGGATTCTTTGACTTTGGATACTTCATCTCAAACGTAGATATAGTTTTTTTGGGTGGCACAGTAAGTTTTTCAGAGGTTTTGTAGTATGGACATTCGCCTTCCAAATCCCAAACTGAGGTTTCTATAGCAACGTTAGAAAGTTCCTCTGACGTAGTGTTCACTACCTGTAGACAGTAAAATAATCATGAAAACAGTAAAATTCCACCAGATCTTATCCTAGTTCCTGCATTATCAATTTTTTGGATGCAAAAGTTGCACATTTAAGTCTAGTAAAATATTGAAAGAAGTAATACCTACTATATTTATTTCCCTATCTGAAAAGGCAAGCAGAAGGAGAAGTTCCAAAAAATAAAATAAAAAGTATGATCAATGCCAGAGACTTCAGGTTCTGAATTCTAGCCTCCAATATTTATTATATAAGTTCAAGTGTATGCACTTTCTATTATTTAAACCAAAGTATCAGTTATCCTCTAACAATGCTAGACAAATGATTACCTCAACAGAATATGTTGCCAGATTAAGCTGAACATGAATTGGTTCTGCCGCAGAGCGGCAGCCATAGAATCCTGCTGTTTGGTCAAGGAGATGATCATAAAACTGGCCTCTTAGACCAGTCCATGGGTTTTGAGTTTTCCATATCAAAACACCTGTATATTTGCTCCACATCTGGGAAGTGTAGCCTTCTAAAAGAGCTCTGTACTGAACATAGTTAACAAGCTGTGCCTGTATATGATTTATTTACAGAATAAGTCAAACGCAGAAACAATGAAAAATAGTTTGCACATCAATGAAACAATTAACTCACCTTCAGACAAAAATCATCCAGATCATTTGGTTTCCCATATGATAATATCTGGTCATGAACCTTCTCTGGTTTGGAATAGGGAATGTATTTATGATAAGTCCATATGGGATTGGGGACTTCTTCAATGTAGCCATTTGATAATTTTTTGAACAGAGGAATCTGCCACCCTTCTGGAGGCATAGTTGCCCTGATAGTAGCCGCTACTGGCATCCCCACGTTACCGACCTCTGGATTAAAGCCATACTGGTAGTAGTCATGCTTGAAGAAGTCCTCGGGGTTCTGAATTTCGTAAGGACCATCGGTGAACTCCCCTTTCCCATCTGCAAATCCATCCCACATAGATCCTTGAACATAAACTCTAGTACCATCTAGATATTGACTTGGATCCTTTATCAGGGGAGTAATTGTTGATGTGCCATTGTTATTTAAATTCATATAATATGGATGGAGTTGTAGATCATTCTTCAAAGCAGCATTGATGTCAGGTGGTGGAACTTGTTCATTTCCCCCAACCCACAAGGCAAGACTAGGATGGTTCCTCAAAAGCTTAATTGTATCTCTTGCACATAGCAAGAAAAGATCATGGTCAAGTGGGCCATCTGGGTTTGACACAGGGTCACCTCGTCCATCACAGTCCCCGGTAATCCAGAACTCTTGCCAAACCTGCCAAAGAATGAGATATTCACATTGTGATCCTCTTTTATTCTATAGGGAGCTAATTTATAAATGCACTTCATCTCCAAGTAACTCTACTGATAACATTTTAAATTGTAGTTGAAGCTGATGCCAATTTTATGTGTCTATCCATGAACTGTTGCATGGAACTCCACACGCTGAATAGAAGTAGCAACTTTCTAAAGTAAAAGCAAATAATCGGTTCAAGATTCTGCAAGAACCAAATTATATATACTCTGTACATGAAAGCAATGAATGCCTCTGCTCTGAAGAGTCCAACTAAGTATGTAGCTTCATCAGCCTAGCAAGATATATGGACATCCACAACCATTGTTGTAATAATCACCATCGCCAAAAAAAAGAAGCCATAATAGTTGTCAACTAAACCATCCAGATATTTTATCTCTGAGACAAGTTACTCTTTATCAAAGGAACTGGCATATAAAGCAGGGTAAGAAGGAGTTCCCTACAGCTTAAAATTTAGATAAACATAAACTCAAGAGGGGCCTTACTGAGGGATGCTCAGATTCAGTTGCCTTATAGGAGAGGTCTATTCAGGAGAACAATGAAAATATAAGAGAGTTCTATGGCATTTTAGTACACCTATGAGATTCTAATTTTTAGTATAGATGATAGAATGCTATTTGTGAAAAATCCTATACCTTTTCTTTTTTCTTTATTGTGATAAGGAGATTTTCTACCTTTTATGTACTAATCATATAGAAAGAGATTCACGTTCACATCGATAAAGTTATTCCTAAAGACATTGGCATCCGGTACTGCAATCAAGAGGTCATCTTTCCAACTATACAAATTAGAATATGCACACACAAACCAGAACACATCAACACATAATAAGAAGTTAGAAACCACAAATGCAGAGAGGTGGGGTTAGAAGTGATTGTTCTCACCAGTAAACCATACAAGTCACAATAATAATAAAACTCAGGTCTCTCAGCCAGTCCCCCACCCCAACAACGCATCATGTTGAAGTTCATATCAGCATGGAATCTGATATCCGTCTTGTATCTTTCCTTTGAAAGCCGCAATAATCCATCTGAGAGGATCCAATTGCCCCCACGAATGAATATTGGCTGACCATTTACCTTAAAAAGCCTGCCATGAAAACAAAGCCAATATAAACACCATTATGTTAACTAACAAAACAAATTTCTCTGGAGAAGATAAAGGGAGGAGATCTCAAAGTTACAGTTACCTTCCACCTGTGGCACTATCTATATGACTCTCAATTTTGCGAAAGCCAAAATGATGACTCCATGTATCCGATTCTCCATAACCTTTCACATTAACAGTTATCTCGACATTGTACAGATGTTGCTTACCCATGCCATTAGGCCACCATAAATTGGGTTTATATAAATAAAGCTGCAATGGAAAGATTTAATCCACTTAGAATAAAAGCTTTTCATTTGGTTCTCCTTTTAACAGAATAAACCTGAGATTCATTGACGAGCAATACAATGGAGAACACTGACTTTCAAAGCGAAGACTTCACTAAAGCTCAATAAAAGAGACAGAATAGATGCATCCAGGAAAGAGAAAAATCTAAAAACCAACAACAAAAATAAAGAACTTCATATAGAGAGGAGTACTCGATTTAGAGCATGTGCTAAGTCAGCACATGAACTGGATAAAACATCCCAAAAGGATTTCTTTTTCATGAGGCACTTTATTGTCCTGTTTCCTTACATCATTGTTCACCAACTTCAAAGAATGAATAAAAGACAACGTTCTAAGAACAGAAATGTGAGAAAAACTTGCAAAGTTTGGACAATCCTCAGTCAAACCAATATCCTCATGGTAATTGGTATACTACGATAAAACGTAAAAAGTTATTGGATTACCATCTCAAGCATATCCCCTCAGTACTGTATAACTCTCTGATTTAATCAACTGGAAAAACTATTGGAGGCAATACCGAAACTCAGTAACAGAAACCTTCACAGCCCCTCCCACATGGATTATTATTCAGATCATCAAGGAAAGCATCCAGTAGACTAAAGCCAGAGTGTGTGCAACCTTCACTTGGATTTTTTACAAATATGCCAACATAAACTGGTGTGTTGCATTCTTTTAAAATAGCACTCTAAGACCCTAACTAAGGAGTGCACTGTACCATGTCCTACTCATGATTTTCTCAACCATAGACCTAATTGGGCCATCAAAAAGTGACTTTGTATACAAGCTTGAGACACTACAAGATGTTTGTTAGGACTGGAATTACAATCTCCACAACATTTTTTATACTAATTTTATGAAAAGGATGAAGAAATACATATAACAATATTACTTTAGAATCAAAGAGGAAAAGAAAAAAACAAAACAAAAGAGAGAAAGAAGAAACTAACTTGAGGAAATGTATAATGAATGTTTGCACCCGCAGAAATAGACACATGCTGTGTCTCAAGATGCTCAACTAAGAAAGTACCATCTTCAAGTTCAGTTGACACTTGGATG